AATATATCTTTTCTTTAATTTCTAAGATTTCACTAAATCTTGCGAACGGACAACCAGAAGGACTCGCAAAATGAATTAAACAAGCAAGATTTTCGAGAACGAACAACCAGGAGGACAAGCAAAGTGAACATCAGTTTTCAATTGTAACTTCTAAGATATATTACGGACAGACAAATGAATAGACAAAAAAAAAAAAACAAAATTTAAAAATTTCAACTCTGTTTTAGTTTTACTTAAATTTAACGGCCAGACAACCTAACAGATGAAGAAAACGATATTGAAATTATTAAAATGAGTTTCAAATTAGTGTCAAAAAATGCGATTTTATGTAAACTGGAATTATTATTTTTTCCTAAAAATTTAATTTATTAATGAGAATTAATTAATTTTATTATTTTTATTATAATCTTTTAGAAAATAAATAAATAAATAAATAATTTCAACATGAACAAACTTCAAATTGTAAAGAGATTTTATAAAGATTGACAAGCTTCGGTTGCCAGTTGTCATTTCTTTTTTAGAAAATGTTCTTAAAAAACACAAAAATAAATCATTTCGATCGAGTCAAATATCGAGCATTTTTTAAAGATTTAATTAATCAAAAAACTCGAATTTTAGAGGCGTAAAATACATCAATTTTCATAAAAATCTTAGCGAAAAATTACAATTTTCGAGTGACTTCAACTCCAGATAATTACAGTTATTTTCTCCGGTTTAAAGTCGAATATTCTAAAAAATTTCTCAACAAGAAAATATAGAACAACACAAACAAGTGCTGTCATCTGTTATCCAAAAAATCAAGAAGGAAAAAAATAAAATAAAATTCCAAAAAATTACGTTTGATCGATGCCAAAATTGCATCTTAGTTGCTGTTTTTTAGAAGAAGGAGAAGGAAACTTTGATTATTGTTCGAGTTAAGATATAAAATTATTTGCAACATCTTTTAAAAAGATTAGAAAAACAATCTTTCATCTGCATATCCAGTAAAAGAAATTAAAGATAGCAGCTTCGATTATTATTTTTTTATGTTTTTTTTTTTATAGAAAATTTGATTTATTCCACCTTCTTACACATAATCTTTTGAATAACAAATCATTATAGAAATTGGAGTAGATGGTTTGAAAATCTATAAATGTGATAATCACGTTTCTAAGAAATGAATACAACATCAAATGTAAATGAATTACATAAAAAAAATGTATCTAAAAATTTTATTTATATAAAAATTTTTTTAGAAATCATTTTATTAAGAATAAAATACACATTTTTTCCTTGATGAATTATCAATATTGTGCTTTTAATGGCCAGGTGGTCATCTGCTATTGAACTGCTTTCTTTCCATGCGTTTTTATCTAAAAAATCTCGTTTTTTTAAAAATGTATACTAATTTTTTTATCGATTCGAATCAGTGTTTTTTCTGGTAAATAATTTATGCAAATAATAATAATTCGTTCTAGTGAAATTCATCAAAATTTCGATCGTTATCATCATCGTTTCATCGATTCGTTCGTAATTTTTCTTGTTTTCTTGGATTATTCAATTATTAAATAAGTCATCTGGATTGAATTTTGTTTGTTTATTTTATTCAATGTGTATAAATTAATTATGATAATTTATATTATTTTTAATCTTCAAACAAACGTGACGTTTCTATCCTTTCATCCTTCATCTTTTCTTGGAATTCAGAATTTTGATAAAATTTTTGACACTAAAAATATAAATCGCGTTATTTACTGTTCAACGTTCAATTATACAGTTTACTGTTTACTAATAAACAGTAAAATAGTATAGTTTTTGCTTCTGATCGTTCTATAGTTGCGTGACTGTGTGATCGTCTACTTTCGTGAAATTCACTTTAATGAAATTAATACTGTTCACGATGTTCAATGCTTACATTAAAACGCTTGTGTATAATGTTGTCTAGCGATTGAACATTAATAATTTTATAAATATTCGTTCATTTTTATTTAATGTGAAGGACCAACAATGCACGCTGCACAAAGCTTGCGGGGACATGGAAGAATTAACTGTTTTCTATCACGCTGTGTTTCATGTTATCATCATGTTTTCATCAATGGTAACCCAAAACATTGTCAGAATCACGCAATACATCTTTAATTTATTTTCCTCCTACAAAGACTAAAAAAAAAATATCCACCTTTCCTACCGATAATTCTATGTAAGGTATCGCATGTAAACATCACAGACATATCATTAAGTATACCAATATTAAATTCATCTAAAAAACTTAATTATATTCTAAAAATAGGCTCGCACGCAAAAATTTCATATATAATTCTCAAAAAAACACAAAATTGCGTGTTGTATTTTTAGAATATTCTAAGAAATAGGTCAGAAAATTACGATTTGTGCACGTGGAAATGGTATTTGCTTAAAAGTATTGACATTCTTTTATGTAAGCAATTGAATTATATAAGAAAATATATATAAGAGTTTAATAAATCTTTAAAAAATTTATGGATTTTTTTCGAGTCAGAAATTCGAAATTTAATTATATGTAACGCGAAATAAATGTATTGAAATGATGGTTTAATTATGGCATTGTTTAGATTATCTGTTTTAGTGGTGCGGAGGAGATAATGAAGATGAGGCATATGGAAGATTAATGCTGTACCTTTTATCGTTTATGGTCATTTAATTTCGTTGTCATTGACTGTGATGATCAATCAATAGACTCTATTCTTATCTTGTGCAACCGACTCTCTTACTGTTACTTACTGTTTACAGTAACTGAGATATTTGTTTACAGAGATACTATTGAAAACTCTGAGGGATAAACCCCATCTCTAATTAGAAATTCAAATCGAAAATAAAACAATAAATTGTCAACTTAAAAAATTTCGAAGTGACAAACTGTCTAGTGATTTTTTAGAAAAATGCTTAGGTTTTTATCGAATAATTACGTGTTATTTTGTAAATAAACGTTTAATTTAAACGTACGGAAGCTAAAAAGTATTTTTAAAATTGATTAACCAATAGAAATAAGTATTTTTAGAAATTATACATCGAATTTTTTAGATTAAATATTTAAATGTTTTGAAGATAAAAATATATTTAGTCTAGTCTCTAAAATATTCCTAAATATATTTTTAATTTCTAAATGCTTAAATGCTTCATCAAAAAACATTTCAAATTTAATTTATAAAAATACTTTTCTTCTAAAAACTTTTTAAAATATATTTATAGCTTCTAAAAATTGAAATATTTCATAAAAAAACATAAATATAATTTATAAAAACACATTTTTACTGGTTTATTTTAAATTTAAATTGTCCAATAGAAAAATTTTTGTAGATATTAGATTTTTTACGAGATTTCTAAATGTACAGAATAAATGCATTTTTTCTTAAAAAAATTCATGATAGCTTATATTAAATAATTAAAACATGATATTTTCAGAATTTATATTTTATTTTTTTTGATGAAATAGTTAAATGTTTGAAGTTAAAAATATATTTAATACCTTTTATAATACGATTTTTAAAAAATATATTTTTGGCTTCTGAACGTCTACAAGTATTATAGAAAACAAATTCAAAATGCAATTTCTAAAAACCTTTTTTTTTATTGGTTAATTCGAATGAGTACTTTTTAAAAATATAAATTAACTGGTTAAAAAAAAAGTGTTCTCAAGAATTTTATTTTGTTTTTTTTTAATGAAAAATCTGAATTATTAGAAGCTAAAAATATATTTATTCTTTTCCTAAAAAAACATTTAAAAATTAAATTTATATATATTTTTTAATTTAAATATTTTATCCTAAAAAAATGAAAAATATAACTTTTATAATTATTTTTTCTTTCTATTGGTTAATTAAAACATTTTAAAATTCGAATTGACCAATAGAAAAAAAGCGTTTTTCGAAATTAGATTTCGCTTTTTTCTGACGTAACAATTGAATTTATTGGGTTAAAAAAACAAGATATACGACCTTTAAACATTTGAACGTGATTCGCCTTATTGATTTTTTAGATACGACGACAATCGTTAATATTAAATAAATGATATTATTGAAACATTTATTAGCGATATTTTACATTATAAATGAATATTAAATATCAAGAATTAATGATACTGATCTATATATTATGTGCAATAATTTCGTATAGTTGACGCCAATATTCAACTATTAATATACTGATATAGAACATCATTGTTCCACAATATTTCTTCGTGTTATAAATATAAGTTCACTTCATTTATATTAATTTTCTAAAAAAAGAATCAAAAGTTTAAGCGTAAATAAAACTTATGAAAGTAATAATTTATGATTTTATTTGAATTATTTACGATGAAAAGATATCAAACATCGTAAAAAATGTAATTATTTACCGAAAGAGAGGGAGAAGAAACAATAAAAAAAGTTAATAAATAATTTTTTATTATATTCTAATAAATTTAAATATGTTTTTTTATCAATGAAAAATAAGAATTGTACGAGAATTAATTGCATGTTTTGCATCTACAATATATAAAAATGTATCAGAATTAATTATACAATTTCTAATTTTTTAGAAATTGTATAATTAATCTATACAATTTAGATGCAGACTTTTAGATGGATCTGCATCTAAAAAGTCAGAAATTTATTATGGGTTTTGCATCTAGAAATTAGAAAATGTGTGAAAACTACATGGAAATAATAAAAAAATGAGTGGGAATTAATCTGAGTTCTGAACCCGTTTTTAGATGCAGAACCCATAATTAATGAGGATATAAAATGTATATATGCAGAACATAAAAAATATATGAGAATTAATTATAGGATGTGCATATAAAATATCAGAAATATATGAGAATTAAAATATCTAAAAAAATTACAAATTGTACTGAAATTATCTGTGTTCTGCATCTAAAAAAACCAAAAAAGAAAAATTATAGATTGTTAAAGCGATATTTTTTAACATTAAAATTATAATTAAATTTCTTAGAATAATTTTTTATGAATTTTTAAAAAATAATTTTATATATATTACAGATAAACCATACGAAAGAAGACGTCAGATATCAGAAAGTAAGTTCGATTTTTTTTTTGATTTTTTTGATAATATATATGTAATGAAAATTTTTTGATTTTAGAATAGATCAAATATCTTTTCGAACTTTTTAATATTTCAATTGATATTTTATTTAATCTTCTTTTTTTTAACTTGATAAAAATGAAATCAAGCGAGTAACTTACGCTACTTAGATGACTTTTTGAGAACGAATTTCCTTTTGGAATTTGTCCTTGTCACGTGAGAAAGTCGAATAATGGAGTATCTACAAACGGTGTCTACTTCGGAACAATGACAGTTGAACGATATGATTAGCATTGTGAATGGAAGATCTGTTACGAGATGCAGAAATCAATTCTTCTCTTCCTTATTCCTCTTGATGAAAATGCGTTGATTTTTCTCTATATCTCTACATTATCATGGAAATTTTATCATTGTCACGTTTTATAACGAAAACTTTTATATTTAAATGGTTAAACTTGATCATATTAAATATCTGTAACAATTTATTTCATTCCCTGGATGTTGCTAGATTTAGTAAATGTCTAATTTATATAAGATTGCTCTACATCTTCCCGGAAGTTCTCTATGGAAAAAAGACTGTTGGTAGTCAATTCAGAAGCACTAATATGAAGAGTAACAGTAGTATTTTAGAAGCTATTACTATGAGAATATCCTGAGCCATTTCAGGGACCATTACTACAAGTAGTTCACTTCCAAAAAGAATTAAACGTAGTGGACCAATTCCGAGCAGACATAAGAAAATCCATTGAAGAAGTCGTTCTTGTAAGACCACAAGAAGAAAAGAAAACTAAAAAATAAATTTGAAAGATATTTAGTTTAAAGAAATGTTATTCTAAAAGAATAACATTAATTTTAAGCTTTCAAAAACTACAATATCCATTTATTTCATCTTGAATTTTAGCTTTATTTATATCTTTAAAAAATCAGCCCAACAACAGAATAGTTTCTAAATTAAAATGCTTTATTTTTTATTTATAAACAATCGTAAATCAAATTTTATTTTTCTCTATGACAGAGCGAAAATGAAGACAAATTCGTAACACAAATATATTCGTTTTTATATAAGAATAAATTTAGTTTTTTTATGGTTAAAGTTCTAAATCCAATTAATCGAGACGAGTTCGAGTAAATGTTTTTATGTATCGTGTAAGTCAATTTTTTCTTCTAGATACAATTTTTGATTAAAAATGACATTAAAGATTGACGAGCATCTCCACTTTTATATCAAGTGATGCTCCTAAACTTTAGATTGATCAGATCGTATCGTGTGACAGTCTCATCCAGATAAAACGAGTGTTGCAATGGGTATGTGACAGATCTAAGTTGTCCCCATAGACCACTACCAGATTACCTTCTTATACTTCCAAGTCTAAATCTCTTCTGCAGAATATCCTCAGCTGGATGGATTCTATGGAATATGTCCTGTAATTTCATGTATTTTTTCTTTACTTCTTCTAATAATATCCATATAGACATTATTTGTTTCGTTTCTACATAATGCATCACTTCTCAGCATCTTCGCTCCTTCCCGCATCACTGATGCTGGAGAGAGATTCTAAAATGCTGTCTACGACTAAACATATTTGCATGATTTTAAATCAATTTTTGTATAAAATAATCATTAAATTATATATAATATACATATTTTTTTCCATTTTTAAATATAAAATATTGTGTTTAAAGCTAAATTCAATTTAATTCTGTTTAATTATTATTTTTAATTATGCTTCAAGCAACTAAACTGTGAAAAGTTTCGTAATTGGTTTCCATTTTATTAAAATAAAAATGCTTAACGAAGAAACTCGATTAAAAATCTTATTCTTTTCTCATTAAAATAATTATTTAGTAAATATTGAGTTATTCGTCTTTAAAATTTTTTCATTTTATGTTGATTTGAAAATTTAAAATCCCCACTTCTTTCAAGCATGGGGTTTGAGGATGATTAATATGAGATTTGAGAATTTAAAATACTCCAAATTTAGAAAATTTTGGAGTTTTTTAAAGTTTTTCAATCTCTCTAAGAGCAATATTGAGATTTTGTTTTCCAATTCTTCTTCGGGGAGAGTATTATCAGATTTAAATCTTCGAATCCTCTTTTAGAGTTCTCTGAAAATTATAAATTTTTCAACTCTTTTAATGGGGAATTTTCGTATTTTGAATCCACCAATTTTAATTGATTTGGAGGTTTTAAATCTTCCAACATATATACATCTCAATATCTTCACTCTTTCCAGCAGAGGTTTCGATTCTTCAAGCGGAAGATTTCGGGTTTGCTTCTTCCAATAGAAGATTTTCAAGGTTTAAATTCTTCACCCCTCTTTCTAGAAAAAAGATTAGACGTTTTAAATTCTCCAATTCTCTTTTTACAGGATTTTGGAGGTTTAAAACCATCCAACACTTCTGCTAAGAAATTTCGATGATTCTGTATAATTCAACCCTACTTATGGAGAATTTTAGAGATTTGAATCCTACAATGTATTTTACAGGAGATTTTAAGGTTTTAAATCCTTTAAATCTTCAAAAAAATAAAATTGAAATGTTTAAAATTTCAATCCTTCAACTCGAAACTCTTAAAAAAAATACATTTTTTGAGTATTGTACTTTTAAATATCTAAATATATATATTTTTATCATCAATAAAACATGTAAAAATATAAGATTTTTCAATATTTGAGTCAAATTAAGATATGTAGATGTTTTATTCTCTCCTTCCTTTGAGAAATTTCAATATTTTGATAGTATTCTGTCTATGGAATTCGTGTATAAAATTTTAAATAGAAACCTGTCAAAAGTATACTTAAGCAGTTTTTATCAGGACCAAAATTCGATTCCTCCAGAAGTACATCAATTTATGTGATTTTTTTGGATTTATCTTGTCAAAGAAATAAAATGTCTTAGTAAAATGTAAAGTTTATTTGCATTGATTGTATTATTCTTACACATATGTACAGTACTTTTATGCATACTTAAAACTTCAATATAAACAAATATTTATTGTTAAATTTAAGAATAAATTAAATTAAATTTATGATTTGTAATTTAAAATTTTATTCTAACAAAGAAATTAACAAAAATTTGCATAATTTGAATAAATAAATTCTCTCTTATCACTAGAAAACTGGAGAACTTCTAAAAATATACGTATAAATTTATAAATTTTAATGTTATTAATAAAAAAAATTAACGTTTAGTTGAATTTTAAGTTAAGTAAACTAAATTTTCTTTAATTTTATTAAATGATTTTTAAAAATTATTTTAAAAAATTATCTTAAGTGTCGTATAACAATATACATATTTATAATATAAAAATGTGTGTTATTATTAATCGTTAAAAAATTAATAATAGTTTAACGCGATTAATTTTATTTTTAAAAAATTTATAGCATTTTTAATTAAATTATTTATTTATTTTTTTTACAAAAATGCCAACCTTAATCGATTTTAAAACACGCTACTAAGTGACAATTCGATTTTTTCTCCTCCTCCTCCTGCTTTTTTTTTGGGTTTAATGATACAATAAAAATTATTTGATAATGATAAATTTTTAATATAAATAACTATAAAATTCTTAATATTTTTAAAAATTTTATATTATTTAAATGTAGTAATATTTATGAATTTTTCGTACGTTTCAGTGATTTTTTTGCGTTGGCATGGTAGTATTGGCTTTTTTTCGTTAATTTTATATATTAAAATTATAGAAAGTGAACTAAACTGATAAATAACATTGAGAAAAATGATACACAATGCTGAAAACTTGAAAATTTTAAGCTAAACATAGTTAATGAATTGCTTTAAAGAACTAGTAACTAGTTTCGACTCGTTTAAAATTTGTTTTTGCTTTAATAGATCCATTAAATACATTCATTCTACTTGTTTAATAATAAATATTTGTAGAAAAAGCGAATTTAGATAGACTACACATCATTTAAATTTCAATGCCCGGCTCTACGCAACGAGTAATGAGAAACTAACTGGTGAAGACAAACAATTTTCATAAAATACATATTTCAATAGTGAATTGGAACAATTAAGTTAATGTGTTTCTTTCAATAGATTATTAGCAACATGCTGCTGAGGTTTTTTAAAAAATAAAAGATACGTTTGCCAGTTAAAGATTTAGTTAAGTTCAGTCCGTACTCTGTGAAGATCCCAGATTGCTTGGAGTAGAACGAAGAGACAGGCAATGACATGGATTAAAGTAGTTGATTTACGGTGCAAGATAGAAGATTTTCTCTTTGGCTTACCTCCTGTCCACAGATTAGGACAGACGGTCGATTTTATAGATCACTTGGACCGGTTTAGTTTCAGTTAATTTGTCGTTTGCCACTTATATTTAGTGAACCTGATGGAAGCGAGTACAAACCAAACACATTATTTTTATTCCATTTTTTGGATCTTTTTAGAATGTAAAAAATGATTTTTTTGATAATACATTTCATAGAAAATCTATTTCTTTTTATTTTGAGGGTTTAAAAAATGGTAATGGTTCTTCTAAAACAAATAAAATCCGATAATCATTTTAAATGTTTCTATAGCTTAAGCTTTCGAAAATACTAAAGAATGGATTTTCATGATGAGATTTCTTAGCAAATTGCTTTTAAAATTCGGAAAAATTGATTTAAACCATAATTTACGATATTTAATTTAGTTTAATTTCATTTTAATTATTAAATTTATATATAATTATCGAGCATAATAATAGTAATTAGATAAATCACGGTTTGATTACAGATATGATATTTTAATAAATTTATTAAGTAATTTTAATATACCTAATGTAATTTTTCACTGTAAAAAATTTTAAATTTGTGAAAGTAGATTACAGATAAACTAAAGAGGTAGACATAATCAAATTTAGATAAAATAAAGTAGTAGACAAAATCAGATTTAGATAATGTAAAGAGGTAGATAAAGGTCAAATTTAAACAAAATAAAGAGGCAGACAAATTAAAAATATAGACAAAATAAAAGAGTTAGATAAAGTAAAGAT